CCTCCGTTTCCCACCTAATCTCTAAGGAAACAAGAGGCAGAAAGCAAGTGTTCTGGCTTGCTGCTTCCCTCACAGCATCCCCATTCCAATTAACCAGGTTCTCCAAGAGTTGGAATGTTGGTTTCAAGTGGCCAAGCAATACACTTGGCTTTCTTTTCTTCGTCTTTCATGGCCAGCCCAATAAAGGTGTCAGCTCCTTTCTTGCTACCTGACAGCCAACAACAAACATAGCCCTGGCCTGCTGGCCTTGACCAGAGAATAGTCCGCTCAGATGGAGCACAGATATAAGGGCCTTTCCCAGTGGGGACATAAATGGAGGACACTACCAAAACCAAAAGGAGAATAGAGAGTAGTGACTGAATTGTTACATTGAGCAGTGATGCTCTTGCATCAGCCACCACACATAGGACTTCCCAAGGCCAGGACCGCTATTGAGGGCAGTGATGCAGACAGGCAGGGTCCAGTAAACCAGCGAGTGCTTTGTTACCTTTCTGTCACCTAGAAGAAAGTGGCATTATCCCTGCTTTATAAATAGAGACATTGACACACATCCAAGAGCACTATTAGCCATGAAAAAAAAATACACTCTAAACCCAAGAGCCGTAGGCTGCATTTTGGCCATAAGCTAAATTCAGTTCAAGACCTATTGGGTATTTTCAGCTTGTGACATTGTTAGGCACTCTGGAAAAATTATAATAAGCAGTTCTGCTCTGAATTGCTTTCTGTTTCTTAGGAGAGGAACACAGGGACACTTGTGACTCTTAGGAAACAACATACCCAAGTGTGCATCAACTAATGGATGGATAAATAAAATGTGGTATATCCATACAATGGAATATTATTTGGCCATTAAAAGGAATGAAGTAGTGAGACATGCTACAGCATAGAAGAACGTTGAAAGCATTATGCTAAATGGAAGAAGGCAGTCACAGACCATATAATGTAGGATTCCATTCATATGAAATATCCAGTATAGGCATATCTATAGAGATGGAAAGCATCAAGCTTCCTAGGCTGAGGGAAAGGGTAGGAGATGGCATGTGACTGCCAGTGGGTATGGAGTTTGTTTTGGAGATGATAAAAATGTTCCAAAGTTAGGGGCGCCTGGGTGACTCACGTCTGACTCTTGGTTTCAACACAGGTCATGATCTCTCAGTTTGAGCCCGCCATCGGGCCCTCTGCTGTCTGTGCAGAGCCTGCTTGGCATTCTCTCCCTCTCCCTCTCCCTCTGCCCCTCCCCAGCTTGGGCTTGCTCGCGCTCTCTCTCTCTCTCTCTCTCTCTCTCTCTCTCTCTCTCTGTCTCTCAAAATAAATAAACTTAAAACAAAAAAAAAATTTTTAAGTTCTAAAGTTCAATTGTGAGGGCGCCTGGGTGGCTCAGCAGGTTAAATGTCCAGCTTCAGCTCAGGTCGTGATCTCATGGTTCATGACTTCAAGCCCAGCCGGCATCATGCTCCATGCTGACAGTGTGGAGCCTGCTTGGGATTCATTCATTCATTCATTCATTCATTCATTCATATTTTCTCTCTCTCTCTCTCTCTCTCTCTCTCTCCTTCCCTCCCTCCCTCCCTCCCTCTCCCCCCTTCTCTCTGCCCCTCCCCTGCTCTCATCCCCCCCACTCAAAATAAATTAAATAAATAAGTAGACTTTAAAGTTAGATTGTGGTGATGGTTGCATAACTCTGTGAATATACTAAAAAAAATCGAATTATGTGCTCTAAATGGGTGAATTTTCTGGTATGTGAATATATCTCAATAAAGATGTTTAAAAAAGAAACAAGATGGTATGTGATCGAGTGTGAATTTGTGTGGTTTGTACAGTATGTTTTACAGACAGTTGGGGTGGCAACACTAGGGACAAGAGGAGGCTTCCTGGCTGGCTTTGATGGTGCACTTTGAGCAGGGGGCGGGGGTGGCTAGAGAATCACAACACTGACAGTCTTGAGCAGAAGTAAGTTTTGTTGTGAGAGAAGAATGCAGTTGGGCTGGAGAACAGCCAGCCTTGAAGCGGAGGGTGGGGAGAAGAAGGCTTCGTGGAGAGGTGGGAACAGATTGTCAATGAGCCTTGAATGCCAGGCAAGGATTGTGATTTAATCCTATACACAGTATAGGATCTTGATCAGGAGAATTAAGGGACAAAACTCCAGAGGCAGAGAAAAGAAAGGTGGTCCTTGAGGCTATTTATTTATTTAACAAATTGCTTCAATCTTGTTTTTTGTTTTTTGTTTTTTTAATTTATTTACTCTTGAGAGGGGTGCCTGGGTGGCTCAGTCAGCTAAGCGTCCAACTTCTGCTCAGGTCATGATGTCATGGTTCATGGGTTCAAGCCCTGCATCGGGCTCTGTGCTGACAGCTCAGAGCCTGGAGTCTGTTTCAAATTCTGTCTCCTCTCTCTGCCCCTCCACCGCTCATGCTCTGTCTCTGTCTGTCTCTCTCTCTCTCAAAAATAAAACAAACATTAAAACGAAATTTAAAAAAATGTTTTATTTATTCTTGAGAGAGAGAGAGAGAGAGAGAGAGAGAGAGAGAGAGAGAGACTGACTCCCAAGCAGGCTCTGCTCTGTCAGTGTGGAACCTGATGTGGGGCTTGAGGCCATGACCCTGGGATCAAGACCTGGACGCTTAACCAACTGAGCCACCCAGGTGCCCTGAGACTTTCTATGTATCCTGTAGAAGTTTTGTGTGCACATCCTAGTTAGAACAAGCGGGGAGTCAGGGCTCCGAGCTAGAATCAGCCAGAGTGGTCTCAGTAGGGCCAGTGACCCTTTGCTTTCTCTGGGGGGGCATGCCCGTGTTTTCCTCGCTACCTTTTTGTTCCGAGACCTATCAAAATAGGCTGTGATGCCAGAGGCTAAGAATTCGAGTTTACGGAGTTTACTGTTTGACCAATGGCTTGTACAGAATCACGAGCTGCAAAATATTTAATCAGTGAGGTCACTGGAGGGAACAGAGGTTTGATCAATAGGAGTGTCTGCTGTTTCCCTTAAGGATCAAGTCTGAACTGCTTTTCTTCCCCCTTCTTTTGGCAAAACCACAATCCATTAAAAATGGAAAGAATAACTTTTTTTTAAGACCCACAAAAGCTTATTTTTAATCAGTTATGTGGTCTGCTCACCTTTGTGGGGTTCCTCTTGACCCGATTCACAAAACTATAAATGAATGCTAGCCTAGTGGCTTTCAAACCCTTTTGCAGCAGCACCTCCCCCTTTCGATGACTCAGTATTTACCCAGTATTTAAGACAGCACTTGGGTTGCAAGAGGGTCAGGGACGGCAGCCTTGGCCCCTCTGAGGACGATGGCTATTAGCTGGTAGTCACTGGTGCCATCTGACGCCCAGGGTGCTCATTTCTTCATTTGTAAGGTTTGGCACCTGGGTAGCACTTCAGAAGGAGTCGGTTACGGTGAAGGTGGTAAAGGAGAAAAGGGAGTTTACAAAGGAAGACGGTGAGGAAACCGTGCATTTTCCAACAAGTGTTCATTGGGCAACTGTTGTGTGCCAAGTACTGTACTGGGTGTTGGGCATTTTAAAAGTAAATATGACACGTCCCCACCCTCACAACTCAGTCGAGAAAGGGGACTGTCCTTCAGTGTGACGAGTGCAGTGGGAGAGCACCTGCCCCAGCCTGGGAGTCAGAAAAGGCTTTGAGGCAGAGTCCCCAGCCAGCCAGAGAACTGGAAGGTAGCTGAGAGCCAGGCAGGGCACGGGCCCTGAGGGCAGTGGGGTGCAGGGATGGGAGAGCGTGTTTCAGAGGCAGGTGCTTTGGGGACCTGCAAGGAGCCCCAGCTGGGCAGCCGATGGTTAACCGAGGGGTGAGAAAGAAAGAAGGCTCCCAGGGCAGTGGAGACGTAGGTCAGGTGGTAGATGTGAGCTGGAACAGGTGCACTTTTTGGTGGGGGGTGGACAGTTGGCAGAAGATGCCAGGAGGGAGCACAACTGAACATCCTGAAAGGAAACAGAAACTGCATTTCCCCCTAGTTGGTAAAGGGGAGCTGCTCAAGAGCGGGTCACAGTCAGGGATGGTGGACTCTGAGTGTGCCTGGCTTCTGGCCTTCACTGTCAGTGCGGGTGCCCAGTTGCTGGTTGTGAGGATGGATGGGTAAACGGGTTGTATCAGATCTGTGAGCCGTGGGGCACTCGGGATCCAGGGAAAGAAAGGTGAGGAGGAATGGATGTGTGTGACCGTGTGTTGGAGGAGGGGAAGCGGGAGGGCTTGAGGCAGGGGAGCCCTGCGGTGGGATGAGGAGAAAGGAGCTTTGTGTGCAAGGGCTTCTGCAGCCAGAGCAAGTGTGGGCTTGGTGGCAGCTGCAGGCCTCCGTTCCTAATATAGTCAAAAGCTCCGAATCCTCTGGCCCGACACCTGTTAGCCAGAGGTTCCCCTGAGCTGACCTCTCCTTGGGCCGCCTCTCCCACATATGCATCTTATGCATCTGACTCACAGAGGGGCCAGACCCCTCCCTGCTGAATCACTTGGACTGAGGGCCCCGGTTGACAAATTGCCTTCTCTCAACTTAGGTGGGGGCTGCTGGAGTTTTGAGGGACAGGTTTGCTCAGCTGTTTCTAGGGAGAGGCGTGAGGCTGGGCTAGCCAAAAAGAAATGGGGTGTCCTCCTGGGAAGTGGCCATCCTTGACAGAGGACTGAGCGAGTGGGAAAGGGGCAGTCTGGACACAACGAAGCCCTGGGGAGGGCCGGCCTTTCCCCCGCCCTCCGGTGGAGGGAAATGAAACATCAACTGCTTATTGCTGCTGTGGCTGCTTCCTGGCTTTGCCTCTTTCTTCTTCTGACCTTTGGGGGAGTGGGGCATAGCAGAAGAGGTGGGGTTCTAGGTAGCCAGCCGTTTCCCACTGACGCCTGTTCCGGTTCTCACCTCCCGGCTCTGTAGCCCCCGGGATGTTGCAGCTCAGTGCGGCTAGCTAGCATAATTCCCTTTGTCTCTCCCCCTCTCCCCCTCTTCCTGTCCCATCCCTTGGTCCCCCTTCCCGGTCCCTGTGGGGGGCTGCAGCCCAGCCCTGGGGAGCCCCTGTGGAAGTGGAGTCCTTCCTGGTCCACCCTGGTGACCTGCTACAGCTTCGCTGTCGGCTGCGGGACGATGTCCAGAGCATCAACTGGCTGCGGGACGGGGTGCAGCTGGTGGAGAGCAACCGTACCCGCATCACAGGGGAGGAGGTGGAGGTGCGGGACTCGGTGCCTGCCGACTCCGGCCTCTACGCTTGCGTGACCAGCAGCCCCTCGGGCAGCGACACCACCTACTTCTCCGTCAATGTCTCAGGTTGGTAGCAAAGCCTGCCCTCCCCCTCTCCCTGGATCCACCCCTCCAACCCTCTCTTCTAGTTTCAGGGGGAGGCGAACCTCCTCTCCTTCATGATCTGCCCCCACTCTGCTTCCAAAACTGCTGCCCACTAACATTGCTCCCTGCCCGCCGCGTGGCTTAGCTCTCAGAGGGGTGACCAGGTGGGGCAGGCCTCAGGTCAGAGATCTAGGCCTCCAGGATCTGCCTCAAGTGACTGCTGATACACTTGGGTCAGCAAGACACTGATAGTTTTCCGCCACAGCTTGTCCAGATCTCCAGGTGCTACCTGGGGCTCGGCCAGCTTCCATTCTGTCATTCCCTTGCCATTCGGACTTGGTATTCGGCTTAGGGGTTAGAGCCCCAGAATATGTGGTGAGGTAGGTCCCTACTATGATGGGAAAGGATCCAGGTGCACCGTCATATTCACAGGCTTCATGGAAAACATCGGTCCTCCAGCTTCCTGAGCTGTATTAAGGGCAGCCAGGGAACCCTGGAGTTCTGTGACTTTGGGAAACTGCCACTTATAGAACACGAGTTTTACAAAACTCTAGGATGAAACAAAGAAGAGTTGAAATTTTCTTGATGCCGTTTGTGCATCCCAAGGGGGAGGGCTGGGCATCTCCTCCCCTTCAGGCATCATTTAGAACCTGCCCCCATTTGAAGGACTGGAAAAAGATCTGGCATGAACCCTGATTGGTGACCACATGTGTGTCAAGCCTTTTAAAAGGGGTGGATACTTGGGGAGAAGTGTCGGCAGCTGCAGACGGTGTGGTGGGCTCCCTATCTACCCTGGGCAAGAAGGGCAGCCCCCAAACCTCAGCAGACACATGCTAGGAAAATTCCATCTGTGAGTTGTTCAGCCTCATGGCTTTAGAAATAGCTTCTCGCCATAGCGTGCCTAGATCTGTCTGGGTTTCTGAAGAAGGATACACACAGATTCCCCTGGCTGCTAGTTCCGAGACCCAGCACATCTGGGTGCTACTGAGTTGAGAGAACTTCTCAACACAAGGTGTAATTAAATCCAAGAGGACCCGCTGCCCCTGATGGAACTGGCCAATATCAAGGCTTGTGGACAGAAAGGGGCACTGCGTTGGGCTGGGGAAGGCGGGGGACAGGCATAGAGCATGCAGTTCTTCAACCATTTCTGTCCCACAGAGAGACTGTCACTAAGAGTGGAATGGGACTGGGGGGTTCCAGATGCATTCGTTCTGTAACTGGACTGGCCTTTATGTTCATGGCTGGCTGTTGATATGGATGGAAATCTAGTGAGCCCTTTTCCCTCGAAGGGACCTCAGTGCCCCCTTCTTCCCATAGATGCTCTCCCCTCCTCGGAGGATGACGACGATGATGATGACTCCTCTTCAGAGGAGAAAGAGACAGATAACACCAAACCAAACCGTATGCGTGAGACACTGTTTCCTACCTTACTGCCTTCGGGCCGGGCCTTGGGTTTGAGTGGGAAGGGGGAGGCTTAGATGATTGTTTGGAGAAGGGGAGAAGAGGGCACATGGGGTCATGGGATCCTTTGGGTGCCCTGATTAGTGCGGGCACTGTTTACAGTGTTGGGGACACCTCCAGGTCCTGGCCTGGGCCCCTGCTCCTGAGCCTGACTGGACCCTGCCTGTCTCTCTTGGCTTTCCCTGGGTAGCCGTGGCTCCATACTGGACATCCCCAGAAAAGATGGAAAAGAAATTGCACGCGGTGCCAGCTGCCAAGACTGTGAAGTTCAAATGTCCTTCTAGTGGGACTCCTAACCCCACGCTGCGCTGGTTGAAAAATGGCAAAGAATTCAAACCTGACCACAGGATTGGAGGCTATAAGGTACGTGTGTATGTATGGAAGTTAATGTAAGATGAATGAAAAAATCTACTTAGAAAATCCTTATTATGTGGCATTAATGGTTTAAAGTAATGCTTTCTAACTATAAAAGTAGTGTGCCTTAGAAGAATTTCAAATATAAAAACTTCAAATGAAGCTTCAAAATCTTTTCAGTCTTGGGGCGCCTGGGTGGCTCAGTTGGTTAAGCGTCCGACTTTGACTCAGGTCATGACCTCAAGGTTTGTGAGTTCGAGCCCCATGTCGGGCTCTGTGCTGACAGCTCAGAGCCCGAAGCCTGCTTCAGATTCTGTGTCTCCTCTCTGCTCCTCCCCCGCTTGCTTGCACACGCGTGCGCGCGCGCTGTCTCAAAAAAAAAAAAAAATTAAAAAAAATTTTAATCTTTTCAGTCTTTTTTCTTATGTGTCTGGTTTTTGCATAGTTAATCGCAATGTGTGTAGAATTTCTTTCCCTTGTTAACATTACAGCACGTGTCTTCTGCCATGTGTTCGGTAGATAATTTTTCATGGCTGCACAATATTTCATTATTAAAATGTCCATAACTTGATGACATACATTGTCATACTAGTTATTTTCTGATTTTTCACTATTATGAATTATGCTGTAGTGAATATCTTTATACATAAATCTTTGTTGGTGTTTTAAAATATTCTTCCCTAAGACAGATTGCTAGAAGTGAAGTTTACTAGATCAAAGTAGAAGCATTTTTTTAAGCCCTTGATGCGTATTCCCCATTACCTTATTTCCCCCTGGTAATTAGATAATTTTAATCATTTATTTTTTTATTATGTGAACATTTCTTTTTTTAAAAAAGTTTTGTTTATTTTGAGAGAGAGACAGGAAGTGCATGTGTGCGCATGTGCGTGGGGGAGAGGCAGAGAGAGAGAATCCCAAGCAGGCTCTGCACCATCAGCACAGAGCCCAATGCGGGGCTTGAACTCATGAACCTGGGAGATCGTGACCAGAGCCTAAATCAAGAGTTGGATGCTTCATCAACTGAGCCACCCAAGTGGCCCTTTATGAACATTTCTTGAGCACATGTCTTTTCAGAAGGTGTACTGGCTGGACAAGTAGAGCTCTAAGTAAAACAGGAAGATACAAAATTTTAATTATTGTGACATTTGCTTTAATGGAGTATGATGTAATGAGTTGGGTGTGATTTTATTTTTTTAATTTAATTTTATCGTGGTAACAATTACTTTCCTAAAAGGGAAGATTGATTCATCTTCCCATAGCAGAGTACAAGAATGACAAGCTCACCATACCTGAGCCAACAACTTAGATAGATGATGAAAGTATCTCATTGTTCTCTTGTGCATTTTTTTGCTTATTAACAAACTTAGAATTTTCGTATGTTAATGAGTGATTTCCGTTTCCTGCTGTGTGAATTGTCTGTTTGTATCTTCTACCCATCTTGGTTTCTAGGAAGAACTTCATCCTAATCTCTTCTTTAGACTCCCAGATCATCCTTATATCCCATTTCACCTAGCTGCTCTTTCCCCATTAATCTTGTATAAGAAAAGCGGAGGTCCGGGGAGCCTGGCTGGCTCATTTAGTGGAGCATATGACTCTTGATCTCAGATTGTAAGTTTGAGCCCCACATTAGGTGTAGAGATTACTTAAAAAAGTAAAATCGTTAGGGGCACCTGGGTGGCTCAGTCAGTTAAGCGTCTGACTCTTGGTTTCAGCTCAGGTCATGATCTCACAGTTCAGGAGTTTTGGCCCCACGTCAGGCCCTGTGCTGGCAGTGCAGAGCCTGCTTGGGATTCTCTTTCCTTCTCTCTCTGCCCCTCTCCTGCTCATGCTCTCTTTCTCTCAAAATAAATAAATAAATCTAAAAAAAGTAAAATGTTTCTTAAAAATCAGGAAAAATAGGAGAAACTGTAAATTAATTTACCAGACACTTGCAAGGCACTGCCATGGTACAAGGCAGCATTCCTGCCCACAAAGAATTTCCAGTCTGGTAGGAAGGCAGATGTCCTTGAACACTGCTGCAAAAAGCAGACTGTGATCAGTGCTTCAGCAGGGCCACAGGAGTGAGAACCATTCTGACCCAGGTTGAGCTGGAGGAGATGGTTTTTGAAAGGAGAGGTCAAGAGCAGACAGGGCAGAACTCTTTGCAGGGAGCCCTTCCGGCCCAGGACACGAACAGAGGCGCAGAGTGGAAAGCTCCCAGTGCATTGGGGAGTGTGCAGGAGGCACATAGGTCCAGATCATGGATGGCCCTGGCTGTTGCGGGCAGACTTCCAGAGTTTCTCATACCCACCTGCCAGCTTGCCTGATATATTCTTTCCCCGAACTTGGACCAGGGTGGCCGTCTGCCCTGTCCTGGCTCGTTTGCTGCGTGGGCCGTGTGTTCTGGGCTGTGATTGGAGGGTAAGTGGCACAGGGTGCCAGTGCCTCCCGTGGCTTCTGCCTCCATTTTCCTCCAGACGCGCGATGGAGCTATTGGCATGTTTTCCCCCAGGTCCGTTACGCCACCTGGAGCATCATAATGGACTCCGTAGTGCCTTCTGATAAGGGCAACTACACCTGCATTGTGGAGAATGAGTATGGCAGCATTAACCACACCTACCAGCTCGACGTCGTGGGTAAGAGGGCAGTGGCAACAAGGTTAAGGAGCTTAGAGGAAAGAGCAGGGCGTTGAGAAAACAGCCGTGGGGTCCAGGTTTACTTACAGGTCATTGGCGTTTACTAGCTCTGTCACCTTAAGCAGCTTTTCCATAAGTCATTTGTACATTTTTCTTACCTGTAAATGGTTGAGAGGATTGGACAGTTCTGTGACTCACTGTAAGGTGAAAGGTGCTGTGGCTGGTCTCCTGCAAGGGCTGCCTGGGGAGGGTGTCACGTAGCAGATACACAGGCAGCTGCTGCTGCTTCAGGGCCGGCAGCCTGCTGGGTACATTACACCCGGCCGTTCTCACGGGCCCTGCGAGGTCCACACTGTCACTCCCACCCTACAGAAGAGCAGACTGAGGCCCAGAATCAGAGACCTCATTAATGTAAAACTGCAGACCCGTGCAGGGCATCACAGGAAGCACTAGGAAGGACGTAGTCCCTGCCTCTAGGTGCTGTTACTGCAGCCTCTTCCTTCCGGAGACTCTGAATCTCATTCCCTAGAGATCTTAAGGTGAAGAGTTTCTCAGCTAGCATTCTGTCTTGGCTTTGCAGATATGGTATAAAAAGAAGCTTCTGGTCCGAGGGGGATAGGACCCGAGATTTGGCATTGCTAGTGGACTCTTAAGTGCTGCCGGTGATGCTGTTCTTGGACCGCGCTTTGAATAGCAAGTCTAAGTGACTCTCTAATTTTAGTTAGGTCTGGGAGTGTGACTAAGTTATAGGGTCTCCATTTAGGCAAGAGGGACTTCTGGTGCCTGGGGAAATGGGTGCACTGCCCTGGGGAGGAGGTTCCTAACAGCTTAAGACCTGAGGAGAGAGTGTCCCTTCTCTTCTTCCAGCTCAGGGTCAAGGGGCTAAGGCTCAGCAGAGACTGGAAATGCTCTGTCAGCATCCCAGCCAGGAGCAGGCCATGGCAGAGCCTGACGAGCCTCTCCTCTCCCTTCCTCCACAGAGCGGTCCCCTCATCGGCCCATCCTGCAGGCGGGGTTGCCTGCCAACAAGACAGTGGCCCTGGGCAGCAATGTGGAGTTCATGTGTAAGGTGTACAGTGACCCACAGCCCCATATCCAGTGGCTAAAGCACATCGAGGTGAATGGGAGTAAGATTGGTCCAGACAACCTGCCTTATGTCCAGATCTTGAAGGTAATCTTTGCCCTAGTCTCCATGGGCTGGGTCTGGGAAGGTCTCCTGCATCTCCTGGGGCCCCAGTTGCTGTGGTCAGGCTCAGCACCGGCGATTGGGACCCATCCCTTATCCGTTTCAATAGGGACCTAGCCACATTCCCCAGAATTAGTGACAGGTCACAGAGTAGAGGTGCAATGGGAACAGAGGACAGGGGGTAGGGTGGGCATCACTAGTTTCTAAAGAGCTTTGAGAGTGACTTTGCTCAGGTTTTGGGGTCAGCTACTCAAGGAAGGCCTTTGTACTCCTGACTTAACATTGCCTGGGACCAAAGCCTTTCCAGCAAATGTCTCCCAGATTCTGCCCTATTTCCCAAGTCCTGTCCTTTCTGGCAAGTGAGTGAATGGATGATAAGGTCACGACTCTTAGGTAGAGTTGGAAAAGCAAATGCCACAGGTAGATTCTAAACAGCATCAGGAATAATGGCATTTTCTTCCTTTTTTCCTCTCAATCCCAGACTTACATTGTCCCTGAATGCTCCACTAATCCAGGGAAGGTAATTACCTAATTCCCCAGTGGATCTCACAACAAGAAGTAACCAGAAGCTGGGAACGTGGTTTACCTCCTGGTCCCAGAGTTAGACCTCATCCTCCCCTGGCTTGGCCGTCCCAGAGTTTTACTGGCTATCCCTTTTCTTCACTATTGGTGCTGAAGCCTGCTGTGAAGGAGATGAGGCCGTGGCCTTGGCCCTTGGCCACAGTCTCCATTCACAATCCCTGGCCTAGACCTGGAGGAGTGAGTTTAACACAGAATGTTTGATTGGGGGCAGCGATTTGTTTTGTTTTTTTTTAAAGCTTATTTTTCAGTCAGATGCTTTGGGCCTTTGAAGTCAACTTGTTTTGTCCTACTAAAAAGAGAAATGACAAATCTCACTAACGTCTCCCTCGCCTTAGCTCCCTGGGCCTGCCTTAATGTTACATGGGAGCAAGTGTGGCCACGTCTCAGTGTTTGCCCCACTGACTGGCTTGTCGTTGGTTTGTTCTAGCATTCGGGGATTAATAGCTCGGATGCGGAGGTGCTGACCCTGTTCAATGTGACAGAGGCCCAGAGCGGGGAGTATGTGTGTAAGGTTTCCAATTATATTGGTGAAGCTAACCAGTCTGCGTGGCTCACTGTCACCAGACCTGTGGCAAAAGGTAATGGGAAGATGGATGGGGCCGTGTGCTGGGAGTTTGATTCAGGCCCCAAGCTGCTGGGGCAGATGGGGAAGCCAGCACCCAACTCTCCCTGTTATCCTGCTGTATTTCTAGAGCCCAGAGCCATGGAAAAATACCCGGCCTGGGAGGCTGCTTTGGTTTGGTACTGTGTTGGTGTCTGCTCCCTCTGTGCCTTCTGTGTCCTCCTTGGCTATGTGCGTACTTGTGGGGACAGCCTGGCTGCGTGGTGAATGATGCTACAGACTGAGGTTTGAATGGTGGAGAAGGGGCCAGATGTCCCCTTGCAAACTGGCAGGGCACGTGCACGCATGTATGTGTGTGTGTGTGTGTGTGTGTGTGTGTGTGTGCGTGTACGTGTGTGTGTGTGTACGTGTGATTGCAGCACCCTTCCATCCCTCCTGTGTGTGCCCTCTGACTTTCTTTACCAGAAACCAAGCAGCACCCCCCCGCCGCCGGGCCCCATTTCTCCATGCTGCCCACTGCCCGCCCGCATGCTTGGATGGGCCAGGGGCTGCCAGCGTCTGGTGAAGGGTTGTAACCAGCCAGCGTCGTCTCAGGTCTGCGGAGTCCCTCCCTCAGGGTTTCACTGTCTTCCTCTAACAGGTCTCGCTGCCTGGTGGTTTTTGTTTGTTCCTTGTTGCAAAGGAGACGCTGGGGAGCATTTCTTCCTCCGGTTTTCCCCCCCTTCTCTTCCTCCCTCCCTTCCTGTGTGTCTCTTAGAGGTCTCATGTCCTGCGCTTGTCCATTTTGCTTCCGTTGTCTCTTCTAGACTGCCGGAGTTAACACCACCGACAAAGAGATGGAAGTGCTTCACTTAAGGAATGTCTCCTTTGAGGACGCGGGGGAGTATACGTGCTTGGCGGGTAACTCTATCGGACTGTCCCATCACTCTGCATGGTTGACCGTTTTGGAAGGTATACACTGTACTTCTCCTCTCGATGTCCTGCCCTCGCCACGGGCACGGGGGGAGCATGCATTGTGGGGCTGGTGGAGACACAGAGCCAGGAGAGGTAGAGGAATGGCCCTGGCAGGTTGTCCAACCTTGAGTGTCGAATCCTCTCAGCTCACATAGGATCTGTCCTCGTTTTGCAGGAACACGGAGGCCTCCCACCTCTATGCCTGCGTCTGCCTCTCCCCTTGGCCAGTGCGATGCATGCGTGGGATCTGGAGTTAACCTGCAGCCGGGCTCTCCTGCCGGCCAGGCTCCTTCCCTCCTTGGGTCCAGCAGCCTTCCCCAACTTGTCCGATCCTTTTTTGCTGGCTCCGCAAGTCTCAGGCCCATGCCTCCCCTCACCAAATGTAGGCATTCTGTAAAGAGGGGCTTGTTGCTTACAGAGAACAGTGCTAGCCCACCCCGCCATCCTCTGATCTTGGAGGAGAGGTTCCATCCACATGAGTGACCTTGAGCTCTGAATAAAGTAAGGCCGCCTGGGACACGGTGGTGCCCCCTTATCCTCTTGGGCTACTGACGTTTCTCCTCTCAAGAGGGGAGGTCTGTGTGTGGGGCTGGGAGGGAAGGAGCCTGCGGCCTGCTCAGGTGGTGGGCTGCCCATCGCTGCTTCTCGAGTGTCCTGCACGTGGGTCTGGGGACTGTGCCGCTCCTGTTGCCGCTGACGCTGCCCTCCTCTCTCGCTCTCCATCTTCCTCCGCCCTGCTCGCCCAGCAGGGTCTGAGAACACCCCTCCTTCAGGGGAGAAGCGTTCTGTTTTTACCCTGTCACTGTCTTTGTCCTGTGTGTGCTCCCAGTCACTTGTCTTCGTCCGTCCATTCTGGGAAAAGAGAAAAACAGAAACACTCCCTCTTATTATCAGCTCTGCTGTCTCCTTGTCAGGCTCGGGAGTCCCTTGGGGCTCTGTCTGGGGTCACACCTAGTGCCTCTCTGGGGAGGTCCCTGGCATGCCAGCCTCTGTGGCTGGCTGGGGTCTTTGGAAGGGGAGGGTTGGGAGGAAAGCCATGCAAGGAAGAGGGGCGTTCCCGCTGGTGGCGAAGGAGTGTCCTGTGAAGCCCCCCGGCTTCGGCTTCGGCTTCGTATGCGAGGGAAGGGTGGGTTCAGCTGGATGGGCTTCTGTGGGAAACGGGCTGCGTTCTAAATGGAAAGTGGGAGATGACAATACAACAGTACCTTCTTCCCCCCCCACCCCTCACCCCCACCCCATGTCCTCGTTCAGTTTCAGGAGTTAGGGCCTGTGAGTAGACTTCTTACAAAGTGCAGCAAAGTTTACGTTCTCATCTCAAGCAGCCCAGACATGGTTGGAAATGCAGTTAGTTCTGCCTATGGTTCAGCTAGGCATGTAGGTAGGAATATTTGCGGGTCTGACCTGACACAGGTGAAATAGGCAAGAGGTGAGGAATGGTCAGGACACCGACTGGGGTCCTCCTTTCCCTCCCCTCTTGTTCTCGTTATGTGAGTGTTGCTATATGCTAGGCGCTGTGGCACGTGGAGATGAACAAGGCGCCGGGCCCCTGCCCTCAGGGTGCTCATGGGCTGTCAGGGACCAAAGACAGATGGTTCCTTGTGTCGCATGTGATAGGTGTAGGCACACAATGCTGGGGCCCTGCGGAGAAGGGCCGTGTTTCCATGAGGCGACTGAGAAGGTCCTTGTTGCGTACCTGGTACCCACCGAGCCCAGTGGTTCCACTGAACGAGGCAGGCTCCTGACCGAATGAATGAGGATGGGCCTCAAGTAACAAGATGGTTCTAATCCATCCCTCTTGTGGGATCCAAGTCAGGATCAGGAAGACTCAAAGATGGTAGGATATCTGATCTGCTCCATGCTGGACCACAGTCCCAGCTAGGACCTGGCTTGGTTCATTCTCTGCCCTGAAAATTCTCAGAGGAAAGGAGATGGGGGTTGTTTTTCTTATGAAGCTGGAAGCCTAGCGCATTGCTAACACACCTGCTAACATGGTGTTCACACCGACTCAGCCCTGGAAGAGAGGCCGGCGGTGATGACCTCGCCCCTGTACCTGGAGATCATCATCTACTGCACGGGGGCCTTCCTCATCTCCTGCATGGTGGGGTCTGTCATCATCTACAAAATGAAGAGTGGCACCAAGAAGAGCGACTTCCACAGCCAGATGGCCGTGCATAAGCTGGCCAAGAGCATCCCTCTGCGCAGACAGGTAACAGAAAGTAGATAGGGGATTTGCACGCTCTATATCTCCTTTCCTTCCTGTGCCCCCAGGGGCTTCTCCAGGATTCTGATGCCCTGCCCTCCTCTGTCCCCAGCCTACCGCTTCCAGCTTTGCTTTCTAGCTTCTGGGCCAGAGGCAGTGGAATGTCCTAAGTGTTCCAGAGTTGGGTTCCAGGCTGTGCTAGCCCATGGATTCCGTACACCTACCGTACCAGAACTGCGAGCCCCCTGCTCCTCCAGCACACGGCTTGGGAGAAGGCCCTAGCCAGGCTGAATGTGCATCTGATATTGCACTTTTGAACTGTCCCTGAGGGCCAGCTACAGGTGCAAAGATACAGAGTAGAGAAGAGGGCCTGAGTCAGGTGCCAGACTGCCTCTCTCCTCTCTCCAGGATGCCACCCTCCTCTTGTCCAAGGAAATGGAACAGAGGGTGAAGGCGTGTGGAAGAGAGGGAACATTCATTCAGAGCGGTGCTAATTCTGGAAGGTGCTTTGGGGGTTAGGAATCCATAATTTGAGGCAGGGTTTTCACAAAGAATGGGAACAGGAATAGAATTGTGGTTGCAATAGTAAGTTATAAAATAATCAGTTTGGAAGAGGTAGACTTGGTCTGTTTGTGTTGAAGGTAAGTGAACATAGAAGGCTGGCCGGTGGCAAAAATTAGTTTTAGAACTTAGGCCTTCAGACCTTTTGTGGTCTTTCTGTCACTCTGTGTTAGAGAAGGAACATCAGATACCAGATACCTCTGCCATGTTGGTGGAAAGCCCTAAGAGTTGCAGGAACTTGCTGCTGCTGCTCAGTCCCCCCAACCCCCCACCCTATCCTCGCTAGAAGGGTGACCCCACGCTTCCCTGTAGGTGTCGGCTGATTCTAGTGCCTCCATGAACTCTGGGGTTCTGCTGGTTCGGCCCTCACGTCTCTCCTCTAGTGGAACCCCCATGCTGGCTGGGGTCTCTGAATATGAGCTTCCTGAAGACCCACGCTGGGAGCTGCCTCGAGACAGGTAATATTCTAACTTCAACTTCTGAGGAAGTTCCCTGCTTGGAGTGAAGGTATACCAGATGCCTCCAGAAATCATAGTTGACACTTCTGTTCTCAGTCGAGTGGAATATGGACAGGTGGAAAGGGGGTGCCCTCTCAAGGCCTGAACTTTACCGGTCCTGACTCACACCACCCTTTGTTTTCCTAAAAGGCTGGTTTTAGGCAAACCCCTGGGAGAGGGCTGCTTTGGGCAGGTGGTGTTGGCAGAGGCCATCGGGCTGGACAAGGACAAACCTAACCGTGTGACCAAAGTGGCTGTGAAGATGTTGAAGTGTAAGTGATGTTTCTGTCCTTGCAAAAACAATCCCTTCCTTTTCCGAGCAAACTGTTACCTCGGACCAAATAGAACACACTCTCCGGTGCTCTTTCACCGTCCACACCGGCTGCACTGCCTGCTTGGTGTCTCCTGGGAGTGGAGGGGCATTCCGTACCCCGAGATTGCCATGATCTCACTTTGTTCCTCGGCGTCAGTCTGGGTGGTGGCCAGGTGTTTATTCTAGATCTCGCTGCTGGCTGGTTTTTCTTATCATATCCTCCGTCCCACTTGTTAGCACATACTGCCAACAACCGCTCTCAGAAGAGGGAAGGGAAAATAGATTTGGGTGTGAAACAGGGAGGAGAGAAGCCAGTCCGGAGGACAGGGACTCCTCGGGCATACACCTCATCCCCTCTCCCTTAGCTTTCCTCCTCTTGTCCTCCTTCCCACATAAATGAGTCTCATGCCCTTCTGGTTTATGTGTAAAGCGGACGCAACAGAGAAAGACCTGTCAGACCTGATCTCAGAAATGGAGATGATGAAGATGATCGGGAAGCACAAGAACATCATCAACCTGCTGGGGGCCTGCACGCAGGATGGTAGGCGCTAAGCCAGGCCGGCTCTCCCACCCCAGCCGGGAACCCGGGCCTCCCACAGATAACAGTGTCTGTCGGGGAGGAGATCACGAGCTGGGGGTATCAGTGAGCAGGCATCTCAGCTACACTGAGGGAACAGGGGCCAGCTTAGCAGCAGTTGGGAGTTACCTCTCGGGGGCTGGGCTTGTGCCTGTGCCTGTTGGTGCTCATCTGAGAACAGTGTGTGGATAGAACCAGGTGAGTCCTTGTGGTCTCAATTAGGGCTCTTACCTCCCTTCCCCAACCCAGCTTGGCTCAGGAACTTCCTAGTGTATGCTAGGAAGAACCACTTCCCTAGCTTTCTTTGGGTAGTGGACTGAATTTCCCAGGCTCCCTAGAGGTGCAGTTAGGATTGGAGGACAGACACGTGGTGTGCAGTTGGGGGTGGGGTTTCCTCAGGGTGGAGCTGATCCAGAGCACCTGCCTGCCCACCCTGATGGCCTGTCCATCCCCATGCTCCCAGGTCCTTTGTACGTCATCGTGGAGTATGCCTCCAAAGGCAACCTACGGGAATACCTGCAGGCCCGGCGGCCCCCGGGGCTGGAGTACTGTTATAACCCCAGCCACAACCCAGAGGAGCAGCTCTCTTCCAAGGACCTGGTCTCCTGTGCCTATCAGGTGGCCCGAGGCATGGAGTATCTCGCCTCCAAGAAGGTGTGGCACCTGAAGGTTCCCCTGGGCAAAGTTGGGGTGGGAACAGAGCCCTCCTTGCACTCCAGTTGATGACTTTTAATCCTCTGGTGGGGTCGTAGATGTCTGCAGCACCGCTTCCCTGTGCTGTCTGCGGCTCTCAGGGACATCGGCAGGAGAGCCTGGTGGCCTTCTGGTCAGACGGGATAAAGTTCTGATCCGTGCACACTGCCCCTTTTCTGTGCAGCTACTTACGTATCTCCAAATGTAGAGTAAGAATGGGGAGTCCTATGTTGTGGGTAAAATGAAGTCGTTCGTGACAGTGTTAACTGCAGTTCTAGTGCTTGGTAAACAGATGCTTTGTTTGAGAGCACACACCTACACAGACTGGACAGAAGCATCCAGGTTCGGCCTTTCCGGGTGCGAAGGAGACCCGTGAGGAGGGTTTGCTCAAGTGACTGAGAGTCCTGGAGCCGGAGGTGTTCGAATGGTTGACTTTGAAGTGGAGCAGAGGGACCTCCTAACAGTGAACTAGAATGGTCAGGGGGAAGTGGTGTGGCAGGAGAAGGCCTGTAAAGGCACCTGGGCCACCTGCCTGCTGCAGCGTCACGGCTGGGCCAGAGGCTGACCGACAGCTGGACACTGTCAGCCCCTCACCCGCATCCCACCTCATCTCTGCACAGTGCATACACCGAGACCTGGCCGCCAGGAACGTCCTGGTGACAGAGGACAACGTGATGAAGATCGCAGACTTCGGGCTCGCTCGGGACATCCACCACATCGACTACTATAAAAAGACAACCAATGTAAGTGCTGAGGATGGAACTGGGCGCTGGTCCTTGGCCCAGGCCTCTGCCCTGTTAGGCTTCCTCCTACTTACATCTCCTGGCTGTGACCCAGCGCAGGCAGCCCTGCTTGAGAAGCAGTGTGCTGGGATGAGCCGAGCGTGTGCCCCGTCCTGTGTGTGCCCCTGCTGGTCCCCATGCTGCCCTGTCCTGGGCCACCCCCAACCTCCCTTGTGCTGCTTGCAGGGCCGGCTGCCTGTGAAGTGGATGGCGCCCGAGGCCTTGTTTGACCGGATCTACACCCACCAGAGTGACGTGTGAGTTTGAAAGAAGAGATTGCCGGGGATATTTGGTATAGAGCATGCCCCTCTGGATGGGGGGTGGGGGGGGGGCCCCCTCTTCCCATCTCAGAACGAAGGAAACATTGTATGTGCGCACCTACTCTGTTCACTCAGTAGAGGTTGAAAGGCCAGTCTGTTCTCCAGCACTGCCCTTGGCGACCCCCTGAAGAGTTTGTGCTCCGGGAGGGTGGGTTCAGGATGACGTGCTGGTGGAGAGATGGAGAGGGTTCTAGGCTGCCCGAGTTCTGTGCCCGTAAGACCCAGTGGCTCTGTGCTCACCCACAGCTGGTCTTTTGGGGTGCTCCTGTGGGAAATCTTCACTCTGGGAGGCTCCCCGTATCCTGGCGTGCCTGTGGAGGAGCTTTTCAAGCTGCTGAAGGAGGGTCATCGAATGGACAAGCCCAGTAACTGCACCAATGAGCTGTAAGCATGGGAAGACACTTGAGGTCCTGAGCCAGGCCCTGGGGACGAAGGGGAGAAGAAAGGGGCTTAGGTAGATCAAGTAGCCCTTCCTGGTCGTTCCTCCCATGGCCCCACCCTGTGAGCTCTTTAATCTGTCTGTATATGTCCTTCCTCCCCTGACTCAACAATCCTGTCCCAGATACATGATGATGCGGGATTGCTGGCATGCAGTACCCTCTCAGAGACCTACCTTCAAGCAGCTGGTGGAAGACCTGGACCGCATTGTGGCCTTGACCTCCAACCAGGTGAGGCAGTCCTATCCTAGACCTTCAGCCACCATCAACTAGGTGCATCTCTGTGAATGAACACTACCACAGGGAGGAGAGTGCCGGATCTTTTGTGTCTCCTTTCACAGGAGTATCTGGACCTGTCAATGCCCCTGGACCAATACTCTCCCAGTTTTCCCGACACCCGAAGCTCTACCTGCTCCTCAGGGGAGGATTCCGTCTTCTCTCATGAGCCGTTGCCTGAGGAGCCCTGTCTGCCCCGACACCCAGCCCAGCTTGCCAATGGCGGACTCAAACGGCGCTGACTAGCACCCCAGTTCCCATCCCCGAACTCCATCGTCAGCTGTAACCCTCACCCACCCCTCCCTGCGGGACTCACTGCCTTCCCCTCTGCCCCTTTCCTGCTGGCAGGAGCTGGCTGCCTACCTGAGGCCTTCACCCCATGGAGTTCACCTCTCTTCCTCCTCCTCGCAACCTGCTTGTGAGAGAGAGGAGCAGAGAGGCAGGTACTTGCTCATGGCCACTTCGTTCCCTCCCAGATGTTGGACCAAGACCCTCCCCACCACCTGGCACTGCCTGGAGGGCTGGGGAGTGGGAGATGAGCAGGCGTGCAGGCGAGAGCTGACTGAGCTTTCCCATGTTGGTTTTGTCTGCTTCGAATAACCCGTAAGCCTGAGTTCCGGTGGCGGGGGCCTCATCCTCATGGCCACCGCGGTAGTGAGGGGAGGTCCGTGCTCCGGGCCTCGGCTGAAGGCAGCCTCTGCTCCAGATAGATGGTGCCAGTGGCTTATTAATTCTGATACTAATTCGCTTTGCTGACCAAATACCTGGTACCAGAGGATGGGGAGGCAAAGGCTGGGAGCAGTGTCGTGGCCCTGGGGCCCAGCCCCAAACTGGGGGCTTTGTACATAGCTATGAAGAAAACACAAAGTGTATAAATCTGAGTATATATTTACATGTCTTTTTAAAAGGGTCGTTACCAGAGATTTACCCATTGGGTAAGATGCTCCTGGTGGCTGGGAGGCATCAGTTGCTATATATTAAAAACAAAGAAAAAAGAAAAAAAAGGAAAATGTTTTTTAAAAGGTCATATATTTTTTGCTACTTTTGCTGTTTTATTTTTTTAAATTATGTTCTAAACCTATTTTCAGTTTAGGTCCCTCAATAAAAATTGCTGCTGCTTCATTTTTATATGGGCTGTGTGACGAGGGAAAGAATGTCAGCTGAAAAGGAGCCTAATGGGGCCCTGGGGCTGTGTCTGTGCAGAGGGCGCCACAGGTTCCCTGCAGTTCCCTCCTAAATCTCTTCCCCTCGGGTCCTGCACCGAGACCTCCGCCACAAACCTCCTACCCCTCCGATGCTTTTGGAAAGGCATCGATGTGTGTGTAATGGGCAGGAACCTCCCATCAGTGCACCAGAGGTGCTGGGCCCGGAGCCAAGGCCCCACCGCCCTCAACCACAGATCGTTTCCTCAGAGGAAACTGATGGGGTTGGTGGGGTTGGAGGGTCAGAGGGGGAGCTGGGGGCCTCCCTGGGAAATAGCCAAGAGGTAGAGCTAAGTGATTAAGAGGAGAGCTAAGGATTACTCCACCAAGGGCCTGCAGAAACTCAAACCCAGATATACATCTACCCCTTTATGTGGGTGTGGTTTTGTCTGTGCTTCTATGTGGGGGAAAGCTTGTCACCTAAGATCAGCTTTACATTCGGGTCCCTTGCTTCATGTTTCCTGGCTTACTGTGTTCATGGCGGTCCCCCACACCGTGCTTCCTGTGTCTGTGACCGACCTCATGTGTTGGAACTACCACAGATCTTGGCTTCCTATAGTTCTTCCTGTACAAACTCCACCCCATCCCCCAGGAAAGGGAAAAAATTCTCTGAATGTTTGGATTTTGGCTGCTTGGAAATTTACTCTCTCTGCCACCTGCTGGTTATTGCTGCGTTCCACGCGTGGATCCCTGCTCCTCGGAACGTTAGCACTCAACCTGCTACCACTCGGCCTCTATACCCAAAGCTTACTCTTTGCTGGATTATTGCTAAATACAAAAAGAAGGTTCGATTCACTTTCATTTCTGCAGGGCAAATGGGATTGCTGCTTTAAGTCTCCTTTCTAAGCTAGCTATGTTTTGGCAGCTGCGGTGTTGGCCACTATTGTGTAAAGTTCTCTCTTATCCTTGTGTCTCTCTGTAAATATGCGTCTGTCAACATGTTACAGTTTGTGTTTATGCTTAAAGAAGGCGTAATTTGGTGCAAAGAGCCAGGAAATGAATTTCTGATCTTAAAACCATTTGCTTTGAGACCTTAGAGTGGTGTCTTTCCTTGTAAAGTACAGATAATTTCTGCCTTGGCCCTCCCTCGAAGCAATGTTATGTGAGTGGATGGAGGACCTGTGAAGAGCTTCAGATGCCTTTGGGAAAGGTACCAGAGAAAGAGAAGGCACTGTTATGATAACCGTGATGTCCTTGCTGTTACTACTCAAAATCACCCACAGATTTCCCCAGAGACTGAGCTAGCTGTCAAATAAAAGATAGTAAAATTGACCGGAGAGAAAATGAAGTGGCCATTTTACTTAGATAACCAGATTGGGTCTCCTGAGGAAAGGAATCCAGTTTATCTAATGAAGACGTCGTGCTGTCAAGGCACTGAATCTCTGGTTTCCTGAGGGTTAAAAGATTAGGGCCTGGGACCACCACAGCATTCATCAATACTGCCTTTCCACCTTTTCTAATTGCCACAGACTGAGGGTCATCAGTCCCTCGGTACCACTAATGTACGATATCGATCTCAAGTAAGAAAGATGGAACCTCAGGAAGCAAGAAATCTGTCTCGAGGACCGTGAAGCCGCTGTGACTATCGGCTGCCACTGGGAGGAGCCAGCAGGCCAAACTCTCAGTCGACATTCACATTCAGCAGCCAACCTGCTTTGAAGTTCCCTTAGTCTGACCTCACCTACGGTGAACTGGTGGTGACTGGGAAATCTTTAGCCTCGGTTTTAGCATTACAGAGCATTTATTTGATGTCACCAACATGACTGGTATTGTAATGACTCAAGTCCTGGCATGAGTGCAGGTCCTAAAAGTCAAGTACCACCAGCACCTCTCTCCCTGTTGTAGCAAAATCCTCTATGTGGGAGACACAGGCCGAAGCCGACCTCACCACCGAGGTTTGGTTTTAAAAACTGCCTGAAATCGTCCCCAGTGAGATGATGAGCACCGGCGCAGCTGAGGCAGCTGCCTCTGCAGGGAAGAATGGAGAGCAGGAAAGCGGGCTTTGTAGCAAGCAGCCCGGCATAGCCTTCCATTCCCTCGGTCGATGAGAGACGGAAGGTGAGCAAGAACCCAGCTGTTCTGGAAGACTCGGTCTGGGGCAAGTTCTCATTAGATTGGCACCTAACATATTCAGGGCCATGTATACCGCTCTGCCTCCCAGATGCTTGGATTGGAGCACAAGTGACACATTTAATGAACATGCTGCCAACTACAGATTTGCCCCTTGTTGCTCAAGGAGGGCTGGTGTGTTGGAGCTGATCGTGCACACCTTTGACTCTTCTTCAGTGACCACCTGTTGACAGTTTGAAATCGAGCGCTACAAATCAGGGCACCCCCTCACACCCAGCCAGAGCTGGTTGTTAATCGTTTACCAGAACAACACCAGCTCGGTTTCAGCACGGGGATAGATGTAACAATCACATAGAGCCTGACAGCCAAGAGTGCTGTGTGATGATGAGCCCAAAGAAACATCCTTGACTTCTCTGAGCCACTATCCTAAGAACGGGAAGAGGGCTGTATCAGGTGTCTCAGATGCCTAGATGTAGAAAAAAGATGGGTGAGGGCCAGCTGGGGCCAGAACTGCCCAGGGGCCCCTTGACCTAACCAATCCCACTCTGCTTACAGGGAAAGCCAGAAAGAACCGGAGAACAGCCAACAGTATTTATGAATCATTCAGCTTAAACAGGATTGAACAAGTTGACTAGCTAGGCCCTTTCCCACCTTTAACACTTGAATGTGAGCTAATTAAAACAAACGCCCATCATTTTAAAAATGGGAAAGTTTATTGTGAATCACCTTACTGGGCCAACAGCAAAATCCATGGAACCTGCATAGTAGGGATTCGTCATTTAGCAGGCTGTGGTGGGGCTTTTCCTCTGGGGGAGAGGAGGCTTAAAAAGCATTGTAAGGTACAGATCTTTGCTGTGAAGTGCTGATGACAGTCCTCACTTAAGTGATCCCAGAGAGAGAGATTTGAGTTTTACTTGGTTTAACGGACTTCCACTTAACCGCTTTCAATTTCACAGCAAGCAAAGAAAACTAATTTCATCACCCCCGGGCCAAAGTATCTTTTCTTTCTAAGCATTCCCCAAGGGAAGAAAGCTGTTGGGTCAGCTGCATGGCAATCTATTATGTTAAGGTTGTTTTGTTTTTGTTTTTTCTCAGTATTAATAATCTTGAACACACCAAACATAAATATCTGAACATAATACTTGTTACTGGGTAGCACAGGGATTATATCAAACTTTAACAACCCCTATGACCAACAAATAGTCTTGTTTGTAGAAGACAGACTAGAAAAACATACACCCAGCAGAGACAAATGGTTAAGTCTTAAACCCTTAATTAGGTTTCCTGGCAAAATGGTGGCTAATGAAAGCCACATGTGCTGGAATAGTGGCAGCCTCCCAGATTCCTGGAGCCTCTGCAGGCCCCAGAGGGGGACGTCTCAGAACAGCCAAGCAGCAGCCAAGCCTTTTGGACTGCCAGTCTGCTTAACTCCCCATTTTCTTCTCCGAAGAGCTTTTTCTTCTTTATATCCAGAAAGACTTTACCGGCGAGTACATCCATCCCATTTCATAAGGTGCTCTGTTTCCAGGGCACTATTCATACTGATGGATCACTGGAAAAGTGAGGTGGTCTTACAATGGTTTTGGAGTTTCCAAGTTCTCACTCAAGCTATCTAAGGTGCCAAGCTGATTCCATTATGCGAAAACTTTCCTTCCGTAGAGGACACGCACACAAATACGAAGCTGTTCAAAAATAACATGGGGAGGGGGCTTTACACAAAGTTTAGTGGGATGACATAATGGTACAGAGGAAGTTGGCTTTGCAATTATATTTCTAAACGGTCTGAACTTGGTCTCACTGCTGACATCATCTGGATGGTTACAAGGCCCCAAGGACGAAATGGCTGATCTCTTCTCAAACCAGACACAGATCGTCCTAGCTGGGCGGCCCGTTATGGATGCCACTGGGGAGGGCAGGGAGCTGGAGAGAGTGAGCTTCGTCCTCAGTAGTCCTTATGCTCCTTTTGAACTAGCCTTGCTGTTCTGGGTTGTCTTTTGGGATTTGACCTGGAGTGTCTAGGTATAAAACATAAGGACTTTAGGCACTGGTCACAGTCAGATGTGTGAGCTCTTCAGGAGTCCCTCTTGTATTTTCTTAATCAAATAATGACAGACCATAAAGTCAGATCCAAGGTTATAATTTACCTTGATAATAAAAATTTAAAATTTTTAAAGGGGGAGCCCTGCAAGCAAGGCCCCTGGATGTTCACCCCCAGATGTCTGCATGTTCGCTGGCTCTCTTCTTTGGTGGTCAGGAGCCAGTGGAGACAGTCACCGTCCAACTTTCCCATGAACCCCCCCCCCCCCCACTTACTTGTGTCATGCTTCTGCTCTTGCCCCAAATTCTTTCACCCAAATGGGAGAAATGGATAGTAAGTAATTTCTTATTTACATGCATTTCTCCTAAGATTTAAATTGCTTTCCTGCTAGTATTTCCTGACATCTGAAGCCTGTGTGAGATACACAACATATGGGAACTATTTCCATCTGGCACAAAAGAAAATAAGAATCTGCCTATATTGTAATTAGCTTCTAGACTTAACATGTTTAGTCCTGATCCACGATTGCACTGGTTGATAAGGTGTTTTGTTTTGTTTTGTTTCGCTTTTCGATAACCGAGTTTTAAAAATGTTAGTGGTTATAAAATGACTAAAGTTCAGCCTACAACTTCCTGTTTGGAGGACAGGAAGAACTGTGCAGTGTTTTGCAATAGTTACAATTCTAGATTCTCTCTGCCCTTAAAAATAGCCAGAGAAAAGGCTTTCTTTTTTCAGACACTTACAGCTTCTTTAGCAGAAGGGATGAGTCCTTTCGGTAATGAAACAGGTGAAGATGGCAATATGGACGATGAGGTAACTGGGGGCAGTTGTATACATTCCTCATCCTTAAACATCAGAACTGAGAGTTAGGTTACGGGTTTAAAACAAAATGTGTACTAGATCTATAGTCACACTGCCATGACTGCCAGGAACTTGTAACCATGACATATTTTGGCACAGGATTCAAGAGGCTACATTTGGAACCTAATTGCATATAGCCAAATGTTGACCTTTCTTACAAATAGATCTGTTAGTACAATAAATATTCCTTATTTAAAGAACACCACTTATTCAAATACAGTTTCATTGAGGGATTTAAAAATATATGTTAACTTGTTCCCATTTTTAAAGCTAATTAATCAAATGAAAAGTAATTGTCCAACCTTAGTTCCCTTCAGTGGAGGTGCTACATCCAGCAGGTTCTCTTTAGATTCAGGAGAAGTAGCTGGTTCCACAGGAATATCCATCTTTGGAGACTAGGAAGAGAGATATTTTATATAAACATAAGCTTTCTGTTATTCCTGAAACTCAGAAGCACTTCATAGTAATAAATGCTTTCTAGCACAACTTGCTTTCCACTAAATCCCTGGCTTCTTCCAACTATACCCTTTGTGAGAACATATGAAATATGTCCCTGAAATAGCAACTTAGTATTATTATCTTTGAATTATGAGCACCCTATATACAAAAGTTGCACCCTAAGGAGATCCTAGTATTAAAAATCCTCAGTCATTGAGACACCTGGCTGGCTCAGTTGGTGGAGTGTGTGAGTTTGAATCCCACGTTGGGTGTAGAAATTACTTAAAAAGTAAAATCTGAAAAAAAAATCCCCATTTATGAACAAGCTCCTGATTTGTCAATTCTGATCCTGTTCTCACTCAACAACAATCATTCATCAGCTTTTTTTTTTTTAATGTTTGTTTATTTTTGAGAGAGAGTGGGTAGGGGAGGGACAGAGAGAGAGGGAGACAGAGAATCAATCCCAAGCAGGCTCTGCCCTGAGCCAAACAGGGGGCTTGAACCCACAAATCTTGAGAGTAACCTGAACCGAAACTAAGGGTAGGACGCTCATCTGACAGAGCTACTCAGGCGCCCCTCATCAGCTTCTAATAGCATTGATATAACTTAGTCAAAATTGACATCTTTAT